CACACACACACACACACACACACACACACACACACACACACACACACTCACGAATAATTCAAACATTGCTCAACTAACAGAATCCAATGAATTTATATTGTGCATTTATTTATTTATTTATTTATATGACATTTTAAGCCTAGAAAATAAATATAATTAGTGCATAAAATATTATTTGCTTATAAAACTGCTTTAATAAAATAACTTGCTATAACATACTAAAAATTACTCAATAGAAACATTCTGTAGGTATTTATAATAGGAAAAAATTATAATTGTGATATCTTCACATTGCACTAAATTAAATACAGGCCAAGGAAACTACGTCAATATGTAATGATATATGAATGGGTATGTGGTAGAAACTCGCACGTTCAGACTAGGTACGAGTATTGTTATTATTATTATTATTATTATTATTGTGAGAAACACGTTCGTACAGGTGTAACAGAGGTGTAATGGGCATATTAATTATTCAAACGTCGAATGATGTTTCGGCGTGTATACGAGCACATTGCTAACATCGTGAACCGCGGTGGCATTTGGTGCATATCTTTTCAGTGACTAGCAGGTGACTTGAACGTTCCGGAATAGTGAATTGAACTTCGTGTTGTGCGTTATCGTAGATTATACTATCAAAATTTGTATAACACATTGTATTATCGTCAACACGGACAAGCGCACCCGTTTATTTTCCAATCAGTTTCCGGCTGAATGTCACGTAGGTAGATCTAGTGGTGAAACTAGGGGGTGGAAGACGGGGTTTCATCCCCGGACTTAAAATTGTAGAGGGTGTAAATTTCGTAGTAAATAATAATCTACTGTTGACTGCTAGTTTGATATTTTTAACTTTGTTACTGATAATGTGTTTAAAACTATATAAGTATAGTTGTATGCTAGTTATTGTAGGGAATGGTATTTTATTCTTGGTATATGATAGAGCGTAATTTTAACATTTTCCTTAGGCATAAAATTTCCCAGTTCCACTTTTGGGTAGATCAAAGAATTCATTACCAGAGTAGCCAGTGATGGATAAAATATAAACCACACAATTCAATGAAAACTATGTAATTTTAAAAAAGTGCAAAATAATCCTTTTTGTATGGACAGTAACTTTAGAAATTATACTCTTTAATTATTGAAAGTTGAAGGACTCAAAATATTGAAATATAGTTATTATTTTTTGGCAAATTGGAAATATGTTCTTACCATAAAATATTCAAAAATCACTTTTTAAAATCAAAAATTAAAATTAGTTTTTGGAAAATTATATTTTTACGAGTAAAAATAATGATAATAACAAAATCTAAACATCACTCTAATTCATTGGCTAGAGGAATTGTTAAGAACTGCACTAATATCTTCTCAACTCCCCTCCCATTTTATCAATTCCTCTAGCATCCTTATTTAAATTTATATTTATATTTATTGCATAACAGTTAAGCTGCTAAATTTTAATACGTATGTTTAATCTAATCACATTGCTGTCAAGTTCAAAAATAAAATCAAAATAAGTAAAAAACTGTTCTAAAGTTACAAAATCTAGATTTAAAAAACGTTTAAAAAATAATAACAATAAATTCTCAACATATACATTACATATACATATACATATACATATAACATTAGGTTAATTTTTATCATATGAATTATAAGTTAAAAAATAAACTTTTAAAAATAAGAACATACAATTAAATATTATATCAACAATGTACCTAAATTCAAAAACATTTTATATTTTTTAAAATTTGTATTTATAAAAATATCATGCAATTAACAATAGCACCTGAATTATAGTTTTTTCTTCCTTACTATATAATTGTATTATATTATAACATAAACTATACGGACACGCTGTTTTACCGAATATTAATACATGCATAATTCATGGACGTGAAAATGTATTCTTTTCGTGATAACAACGCCTTGATATATTCGTATACTAGAAAATATATAATTGTATTGAAAAATAACTCCTGTGAGTATTTTGTTCTACATTAAATTGGAAAAATCAAACAACTACGCAGCGATTAAACGGGGTAGTACAGTGTACCAGTGATAGAGGTTTGAAATAAAAGCTTTCGGTAAATTTATCGAAAATACAATTTCCTGTCCTCACATTGGAACGACAAATCATTATCAAAAAAAGCTTTGTGCTTTTAAGAACACAATTACCTCGTGTTAAGAACATCATGATATGAAAATTTATGCCGACAAGTTTTATTACAAATATAGCAAATTTTTACATCAGCTCTTAACACACGTAAATTCACGTGTCAAGTGTCACGTGTCAAATTCTAAATAAAAACGCTTAATCTTATCGAAATTCTGTGTAAATAATATTTTATTAAAAAAATCAAGCGTTGAACTTTAAACGATTAATATCATCATTACAAAATCGGACATATATTTTGTATAAACACGTATTCCAGGTGAAAAATTAATGCGGTATGATGCGGTGTGGATTTATTAAAAAACGATACACGGGAGTGTCGATCACGCGCATGCACACCGAATTTAATTTAATTTCTTGTGTTAAGCACTTGAATTCTTAATAAAATATTATTTGTACAGAATTAAGATAAATTAAGATAAGGTTATAAGTTTTTATTTTGGAATTGACACGTGACACGTGAATTTCGTGACTTCACGTGAGCTCAGAGCTTGTTTAGGAAATTTTGAGCTACCGATTCTTTGTGAGATGTCGAGTGTATAACCAATGTTATATTTGTTCGAAGTTTGGGTATTTTTTCATCATCGAGTATTATTATAATGTTGATCGTCGAAATCACTTATCGCTGGGAACAAATAAAACAGCTGAATGATATTAAGCCGAATAATCGAAGTGACAACGCTAATGAAATATTATTTATCGAACTACTATTGTTCCCCATATACCATGTCATTATAAATTATTATTATGTTTATTATGTTTATTGCAAAATAAATAATCTAAGTTTTTCAACTACAGTTCCAGGATGAAGAGCTAACGGATCGTGAAGTTCATCCAAAATCTTTGTACCAAAAAAGCTTTATAAATCGGATGCCAAGTCAAGTGTATAAAAAAGGTTTGTTCAAAGAGTTGAATACACTTTGTGTGTGCACGCGTGAGTGCGTGTATGCATGCATGCGTGCGTGTGCGTGAGTGGTTATATATGCGTGTATATATATAATAAATACTATAATGCGATTGATTATTTTATCTTTATTTACTAGAGGAAACATTAGAGGAGTGGAGCCAGAAATGGAAGAACGAATGTCACAACGTACGAGATGCTGACGATTTAGTGCAAGCTTTGGCCGATCAAATTATCAACACACAAAAAACTAAGTTAAATAGAAAGCGGATTGGTGACGTTTGATATTGGTTATTTACGAATTAAATAAAAAACAAAAAAATATGTTGACAGTTTTCTAGGCTTTTATAAATAATCATTATCAACATAAGGAATAGAACATAAAGACTGAGAAAATTAATTATTAATTAACTCGTTAAGCAAAGATAATGTTGAGAAATTTAGGTTGACTTTTAAGTTAAAAGTTTCTTTTCTTTTTTTTATACATTTGTTAAAAAAATTATGCATAGTTAAAAAGAAATTACATTTTTTTTTAACTAAATAAAATCATGATAGTTTTATAAAGCTACATTTTAGTATTTTATTTTGAACCATATTAAAATCTAGGAAAAATGCATTATTATTAACATCATTATTCTATAATAATTATAATTCAGATTTTTTTATTAGAAAAAAAAAAGCTTGTAAAATAAAAATTAATACTTTTTGTATTTTATATTTCTGGAATTTAAATTAGGTAAAAAATGTAATTAACGTAGTTATAAAATTAACTAATTAAAATAACTGCTTGTCATAAAAAATAATATAACAGGTAAGTTAGAAGTTATATTTGAAAACTACAATTAGCTCGTTGATTAATTTACTTAAAAGAAACTTAACTTTTTAACTCGTTAGTATTCATTCTTGAAAAATCCTGTATATTGTAGCTATGGTCGGAGTATCTGAGCTATATAAAACTGAAGTATAATAATATTTTTATACTATAGTAGATCATTGATGTTTAACTAGAATTGGTATAATTCGAAGAGTGAAATGGTTTTTTCAAAAAAATGAAATAATAACATAAAACGTGGTATTAGATATTTAATTTTATGTATAAAACATTTTGTTTACGCACTTTAACGGTTTTGAATTAGTATCTGAAAATAAACATATATTTTAATAAATAATGAAATATTCACGTTGGAATAGATTATATATATCAAAATGTAATTTTTTAAATACACTGAGTTGCAGTTTTCATTAATCAAACTCTGGGGAATCTTTCAAATATATTAATTTTCTTTATAAAAATATTACCAATACGTACCTTTAGGTGATTCACTTTGTTTCAAGTAGATTTGAACTGATAAAATTCAAATAATTATTTTTCATACGATTTTAATTAGATTTAATTTTCCTATAAGCTAGTGATACGCCGAATTTATGTTTTACGAATTTTTAACCGGATAGGATAAGCTTAAAACACGATAAAATTTTCAATTGTATCAAGTAATTACTCGTATAACGAATTTGTTAAAAATATGATGAAGAAGTTTCGTTTTTTAATAACAAACAGTTTATGTTAAGAATTATAGACCCATCCAATAATCGTAGTCTAAATTGCGGATTTTAATTATCTAAATTACTATTTTAATTTTACTGTGCAGTTAATGATTACTTGCTTCATAGAATAATTATATGGTTGTGGGGACGGAGTATTATATTATTATTATCGCAATAACGGGAAACGCATTAAGTTTAATTTCGAGTAGATACGGTTGGAAAATAATAGTATTATTTTTATGCGTTTCTGCATTATTTAAATATTATAAACCCTGTAAATGTTTAAGAAAAATATTTAACGCTTATTGCTGATCGAAACAAATTACTTAAAGTGTGTTTTATTATTGTCAAGTACATACAATGTATGGCATATTGTGAACAAAACTTTGCTTGAAAATAAGAAGATGCGTTCAAATTTATGTAATATAAGTATATTATATAACTACAATCAGCATAGTCTGTATATGTACAGTTGTCAAATGTATTGTCATATTATTATTACCGTTATTTAATATAATATATTTTCCGTGTAAAGTCTCGATTCGTCGTAATAATATCTCATGTGTAAATAATATTCAAATTAACTTCGCCCGACTGAATACATTGGGTGAAAAGTAATTTTCTGAGTAATCATTCGAAGAGTGAACAATTCCATTTTAATGCTAAATTTTTCATTAAAAACAATTTAACTTTTAAATTTCAATATGTAAATTACAATAATGGAGTAAATAAAAAAAAACTGATTATAGGACGCCCGATGAAAAATTACGCTTAAATCGTGAGATAGCATTTGTCTGTTTTTTATACTTCTCTTCTGTACTAAATGATTATCCTCTGTATATTTTATTGCACATATATCTTAATTTATATCTAAATTTTTTTTTATTTTTAAGAGCCACCTTATTGTCCAACCGAAATTTAAAAAGATTAATACGAATATTTTTAATATTATTATTGAGGATTATACATTGTATTTATCCATGTGATATGTGAATATATTCAAGTTGGCCACTCCTGGTATAGTATATAGGTGAAACAAATCTCTCGCATATGAGACTAGTCATGACGTTTCCGACAGGAATCCAGTATAATAGATATAACCGCAGTATAACCTTGTCCGGGAGCTCAAAGAAAATATATCCTTTCGTGCACGCGCGGTATATTATATCATTATTTATAGATGGCATGGTATTATCATGGATTTTAACAAATTTTGTGATTTTCAATTATTATATGACCCAAAAATGTTGAGCAATATTATGGTAAGATATTAGGGCACACTAGTTAATTTAATTCTAGAATGGTTCATCTCGATGTAAAAAAACGTTGGTTACACTTGTCGTAGTGGTCCATGATAGTATAATCGGACTATTTAAATTTTCAAAACATCCTCAAATGTTTAAGAGACTAAAAGTTTATAATTTCATGATATCTGAAGGTACCATGGTTACTAAAATGATTATAAAATGAAAAATATCTTGAAGCCAATTCAAAAATTGGACATTTTTGTTTATGTCGATATTCGATTTGGTAAGTACGACGATTTTTAAAAATTAAAAATCATATTCAGAAGATATCAGTGAAATACATAAAAAAAAATAATTATTTTTTGGATGTATTACAGAGAGCAAGTGTAAAAATTATGAACATTTCTAATATCTTTGAATAACACAAAATATTTCAAAAATATTGAAAATCATATCGTCCATACACTTCAAAGAGTTTTATTGAATGAAATGATAGTAAAACATAATCTTAATTATAGCCACAAAACCATCCTAACATTTTCAATTTCATGGAAAGTTTGAAGCAGATACAGGCTGACACATACATAAAACTCCGCAGTACGAATATAAGGAAAATAACTAAAAATCAGCAAAAAATATGTGTAATGTTATTCAAAAATTGGTCAATTTAAACAAGGAAAAACTACCAGTGTGGAGTAAGTGAAAATAAGTTTTCTCTAAGTTCAAACCACAGGTTTTTTAATTTTTTTTAAGTCAACTCTATATTTTAAGTCAAATAGATTTTTTTTTTAAGACAGCACTATTTTTTTATTGAAAATACCAATAACAGTTTTAAAAGAAAATGTTGTTGATCGGGATACCTCCATACCACTGGCATTGGATTGGAGCTAATACGGCTACTTTCAAGTGATAGGAGGGAGCTGAAGCGGAGAAACGGGGGCTGATGCGGATACTTCACGCAGCACACGTGAACAACGCATTCGACGATCATACTCCACTCCTAATCGACGTCAATGATCCAATATTGCTATTTTAGATGATGGTACATTGGTAGAATTGTATAACTATATTATAAATATACATAGTTAACTTATTAAATTAATCTTGAATCAAAGTTTTGAGATAGATCACAATTTTACAACTACTGCCCAGACGGTTATAACCCCGAGCGCGTCAAAGGATTAATGTTACACATCAAAAGCATGGCTAATGTATATATTTGTATTTTGTGTTTTGCTATTAGTCGGATTAAAACTTTATCGTTGTAGTCCGCATCGTCTGGAACACGGTTTATAAATTATATCATCAGACTGATATTGTGGGCGAACGAACTGTAGCCGAATACTATTAATAAGTAATATTATAATATAATAATAATATAATATAATATTAAAGTTTAATATTGTTATAAAATCATGTATAAATACATTAATCGTAGATTGATATAAACACTCGTATTTGGTTTTCAGTCAAATGTATAACGTCAATTATTTTCTTATAGCTCTATTTTATTTTAATACGTAAAAAATAATTAATAGTCATCAAACTAATATTCACTTGCGCACCGTTTAAGTGAGTTAACTGCAATTGCAGGGAAAATTGACGCAAATTTTACATTTGAAAATGTATTCCCTGCAGACAAATAATTTTAATAAGACGGTTTTAATTTCTATTTCGTTTCAATGTCGTAAAAGTAAAACTTGACTGTTTGATTAGTGTATTTTGTTATTGTAAAGGGATAATTCTTTTCAGGTTTATTCACTATTATAATTTGCTAATTCACTTTACTCGTACATTTATCGAGTTCAGAATTATTTTAGTGTCTTTTTTTTTTACTTTTATGAGTATGTATTGCTGTAGTGAAGTGAAATTTTCTATTGTAAATAATGATTTAGGTTTTGTAATCCTACTGAGTATTATAGCAATAGTAATAGATCACGTTTGTGATACCATTTTGTGATCGAATAATTAGCATATAACATACATTTTTAGCATTGAAGTAAAACATTTAATTTAAGATTTTGTTGAACTAATTACTAAAGGTGCAATCGAATAGGAATAGTGACGGTGTGGAAATACAACTTTTACGTATGTTCATGTTCTCTTTTGTTTCTCTTATCAGACTGCTAACAATCAAAGCGATTTTTATCTGATTTATACGATAAATTGGCGTTCAAAGATTCGTCTATTATTACAAAAGGATATGAAAATATTATCAAGAACGCGTTTCCAGAGGAAAAATTCAAAAAAAATTCGACAACAATGAAAATAGGACTACGCAGAAATCAAAACTCATCGAACTCCACCACTACCTCTTATCCATCACTTCAATGTCTGATAATTCCAAATACGAGTATAATCTTCCGTTGAATCAAATTTACGCGTGATTGATGTATGGTAAACAATATGAATTCGTTGATCACATTTTTTAGTTTTTTCCTAGACAGTTATTATTTGTTTCAAATAATAGCGAAATGGGATAAGATAAGTTATATGATGGAAAACGCTAAAAGCTATATAAAGTAAAGTAATGAGTTTCAATAATATCTGCCTAAAACTCGATTATCAGGAAATATTATTCGGAAAACGCGTAT